GCTTGGATTAAAAAACCCTGCTGGGCTTGAGAAGCCTGTCATTGGTGGGTTATAGCCAACTATTTTGGCACAGTGTAAGACTGAAACTGCATGCACTACCAGTCATTAAGTCACATGATTGCCTTTTCTTCCTCACAGATCAGTAAGGAGAATGGCATGGTGGAAGCATCGCAGATCATGAACCTGTATCAGTTCATCAAGCTGTATCATGACATCACCAGCCAGAGTCTTCAGGTGCCGTCTGCAAAGAGCCCCTCTACTGAGCTCCTGGCTGACTCCTGCCAGGCCAGCAGGTCAGGCAGTCATGACATAAAGCATACATTTTATAGCACATTCAGCAATTATAAGTACTTTTATGACTTTATTTGATAGTGACAATGAACAGGAAATAGGGGGAAAGAGAGCAGTGGAACAACATACACCAAAGGTCATTGCAGCCAAATCAAAGTGGGACCTCACTACTTGGGCATGTTGGTGGTCTAAAAACTCAGCTGTAGGGTTACCATTTTAAAAAGCTATTTAAAAGGTTTCAGCTAAAGCTTTTCTGGAGAATTTAACCACAGGTTGGTCGTTGTTTTGTTTGGAACAAAAAAGGACTCCTTTAAAGACTTTAAAGGTTTTGGTGCCTCAGGACGAGCATGTGTGATCCCCAGCTCCCACAGATTCTGATGCAAATGCATTCAGTCCCTTTGAATACACCCACTTGATCTTATATTTGCCAGCTGAGCAGTAATGATAATGTTGGAACGTACGTGCCATTAAAACCATTACACTTGTGCTAATATCAAATGTTGTGTTTCCGGCCCGAATCTCCAAGCGGCCTAACAATGCAGTTAATGCATTTTTTCCTGCTCACCACAGGTGTCAGTGCTGTAAGACTACAGAAATATTTATTTAATGCTCCACAATCTGCATAAATTATATAATTTCTTTGCAGCAGAGTGATTTCTCATCCAGAAGCAAGGCTAGGGGGCTGATTGATGGGTTGTGTTAAAACTTTCGGACATTTTTAGAACACAGAGGGATATTATTTTCTCAATTCCTTGATTGCAAACCCTCAGGATTTATCAGACATATTTCTACTAAAAAAGGTAGAAAAGCTCATTTAAGTTGCCTTCCTCTGTAGATAAATAATAAAACAGTTTATGTTTTCTCTGTATACAAGCAGCAATTGATGAATTGATGATGAAAATTTGTTACTGAAAAATCTAAACTTCCTGTTATTCACACACACACAGTAATTATTCCACACCCTCTTCTGTTTCTGTAGGAGTGGCCAGAGCCTAAGCGACCTAGCATGTCATCTGCATGTGACTGCTGACAGCGAATCGTGGGTAATATCTGATCTTCAGAGACTACTTCCCTAATGTGACTAATGAGGGAGGCCACCCATACATGCTTTAAAATGTCGAATACTTAGCTAAGTACATAGGAAATGGAGATACACCCACATAAGAAGACTTTTTCCTCCTAAAGAGCAAGATAGAAAAGAATCCAGCAGGTTTCTTCTCTTTATATTCTTTGTGACAGCCTCTGACAATGAAAATCTCCTCTTTTAAGTCCTAAAAATCCCAGGATGCTTTTTGAAACCAGTTTTGTGATATGTTGTTTGAATTAGAAAAATAAATCTGTATTTGTATATTACAATAAATTGTAACATTCAAGGATCCAAGGAGCTTTATTTGTCATTCGCATCACATGTTAACATAAAGTGGAACGAAATTATGTACACACGGTCCGGAGAGAAAAGAAACAAAAATAATGAAGAAACAGAATTTTTTTCTTAAAGTTAGAATAAATAGTTTGGTTTTTTTTGTTTGTTTTGTTTTTAAGAAACAGAAATGACAAGTAATAAGACAATACAATAAATAATACTATAACTAGAGTGCAACAACCTGAGCACCAGTATGGAGTATGGGTAAGGAGTGTGGGTATACATATAGGTGTAAATAAATATTTTAGCAGCAAAGGGCATTGATAAAGTGACATAAAACAGAATAGACGTGTTCTCCGGGATTGTGAGTAGCCGCTGCTCTACTGTGGCACTTTATAAAACAAATGCTGATAAATGTTGACATTGCCTTCCTTCGATATGAATGAGAGAGACACAGTTGCACTTTCTTGTAAAGTTTGATA